TCTACTGCGATGGTGTACGAATTGGACCAGGGGTCCCAACATTTTCACATCCCAGTACGACTTCAAGGGAAAAGACGGCACAAGGACATAATCGCTATGGTGGACAGCGGAGCCACCACAAAGTTTATCAACAAGCGATTCATTGTAGAAAATAAGGTGCAGACGCGGAAGCTAAAAGAGCCGATTCCGCTCTACAATATCGACGGCACCCTGAATAAAGATGGAAGCATCTCAGAAGTAGCAGTACTACAGATGCAAATAGGAGAACACGTTGAGAAGACGGTGTTTACGGTCACGGACATCGGTCCAGAGGATGTGATCGTCGGGTTGGATTGGCTACGCGAGCACAACCCCGAAATAGATTGGGAGAAGGGCTCCCTCAAATTGTCGCGATGCCCTGAAACGTGCAGTGCCAGGAAGACTGGCCGAATGGAGCAAGCAGCGACTGCGCGTGATACGGGGGTCAGGCCCACGGCGCGCAGGCGTTCGCTGAAGTCCAAACGGTTGGTCATAGGTGCCTGCCGGAGTCGGGTACTCCCGGACTTCGAACCCGAAGAAGATCCGGTGGAGGTAGAGTGGGATGAGGCCGATTTGATCGAAGCCTGGGAGCAAGGTGTCACGCTTCCCGGCGCTCCTCAGCTGTTCGTCGCAGCAGGGCACACGTATTCCCAGCTGTTCGCCGAGGAAGAGATCAAGAAGAAGGTCGTTAAGACCGCCGAGGAGTCGGTACCCAAACAGTACCACGAGTTTCTGAAGGTCTTCTCGAAGGAAGCATCAGAGCGGTTACCTGAAAGGAAGCCGTATGACCACGCGATCGAACTCGTGCCCGGCTATTTGACATTCCATTCGAAGGTGTACCCCCTGTCGAACAACGAGCAGGAGGAGCTTGACAAGTTCCTCAAGGAACAACTAGCGAAGGGCTACATACGGGAGTCAAAGTCACCAATCTCATCCCCCTTTTTCTTCATCAAAAAGAAGGAAGGGACGCTTCGACCCATGCAGGACTACCGCCGATTGAACGCGATCATGGTCAAAAATCGTTACCCCTTGCCGTTGATCGCCGAAATGGTGGATAAGCTCCGCGGCGCTACGCTCTTCACGAAGTTTGATGTCCGATGGGGATACAACAACGTCCGGATCAAAGCCGGTGACGAGTGGAAGGCGGCCTTTGTAACTAACCGGGGACTGTACGAACCCCTGGTGATGTTCTTTGGCCTCACTAATTCCCCCGCGACCTTCCAGGCCATGATGAACGAGATCTTCCATGATCTCATCATCGGCGGCAAGATCCTTGTGTACCTAGATGACATACTCATCTTCTCCACCAACAAAGAGGAGCATGAAAAGGTCACACGCGAGGTTCTGCGTCGCCTTCAGGACAACGATCTGTTCCTGAAGCCTGAAAAGTGCGAGTGGGACGTTCCCAAGGTCGACTACGTTGGCTATGTGTTCGGTGGCGATGAGGTGGCGATGGATCCCACGAAGCTGAAAGGAATCAATGAGTGGCCGGTACCCCGGAACAAAAAAGATATTCAGAAGTTCCGGGGGTTCTCCAATTTCTACCGCCGCTTTATTAAAGACTTCGCTAAGATCTCGCGACCACTCGACCGGCTCACAGGGAACGACCCATGGCATTGGGGCGAAGAAGAGCAGCACGCTTTCGACGAGCTCAAGCGGCTCTTCGCGACGACTCCAGTCTTGGTGCTGTACGACCCTAACCGGGAAACGCGCATTGAAGTTGATGCCTCGGGCTATGCCACTGGCGGTGTGTTGATGCAGAAGCAGGACGACGGCAAATGGCATCCCATCGCCTTCAGATCACATGCGATGGATCCGGCGCAGCGGAACTACGAGATCTACGATAAGGAGATGCTCGCGATCATTGAGGTGCTAGACGATTGGCGCCACTACCTCGAGGGGTTACCCAATCAGTTCGAGATCGTCACCGATCACAAGAACCTCGAGTACTGGCGCCCGTCTCAGCATCTCACACGCCGTCAAGCACGATGGTCGCTGTTCCTGGCTCGCTTCGACTTCCGCATCACGCACAAGGCCGGGACGTCCAATGGAAAGGCTGATGCCCTGTCGTGTCGATCAGACCATCAGATCGGCGATGAGGACGATAACACCGATCAGGTGGTTCTCAAGCCAGAGCGCTTCCGCATCGCCTCCGCCAGACGCGGTCATGCCTCGGTGACGGCCGATCAGTCGCTTCTGAAGCGCATTCGGGAATGTTCGGAGAAGGATCGGGAGGTGGCCGAGGCACTTGAAAAGGTACAGGACCTCAGGCCGCCCCGGCTGCAAAGGGGTTTTGAGGAGTGGAATGCCGAACAAGGGCTTCTGTTGTTTCGTGGGTGCGTGTACGTCCCAAAGAACGCGGAGCTCCGGCGGGATATCGTCAAGATCCACCACGACTCGCCGATCGCCGGTCATGGTGGTCGTGCCAAAACCCTTCAGCTCGTATCGCGGAACTACTGGTGGCCTGGGATGTCTAAATTCGTCAATGAGTACGTAAGCACCTATGACATGTGTAACCATACCAAGACATTCCCAGCCAAGCCCCAGGGTCCGCTAAAGCCGAATGAGATCCCCGAGCGCCCGTGGCAGATCATCACGACCGATATGATCGTTGGCTTGCCGAAGTCTGATGGATTCGACTCGATCCTGGTCACCGCCGACCGCTTTACCAAGCAGGTCCACTTCTCGGCCTGTCATGAGACCCTGACGGCAGAAGGTGCGGCAGACCTATACATCCGCGACGTGTTCAAGCATCATGGGGCCCCGGCCAAGGTCATATCAGACCGAGGTCCCCAGTTCGCTTCGAAATATCTCCATGCGGTGTACAAGGGACTGGGAATCGAGCCGGTGCTGTCCACGGCGTTCCACCCTCAGACGGACGGCCAGACTGAGCGCTGGAATCAGGAGATCGAGCAGTACCTGCGTGCTTTCACAAGCCACAGGCAGGATGATTGGGCAAAGCAGTTGCTGCTCGCGGAATTCGCACTGAACAACCGAGTTCACTCCGCGACCGGGCACTCCCCTTTCTTCCTGCATCAAGGGTACAATCCTGAGATCCAAGTGCGGGTCAATCCAATGTCTGCGATGCCTGCAGCCGCTGATCGGCTCAAGATCCTGAAGGAGATTCGCGATGACACGCACTCTGCGCTCGAGCTATCAGCCGAGCGCATGAAGGTGTACCACGACAAGCACGTGCAACAGGCACCGGTCTTTGCGCTGGGGGACAAGGTCTGGCTTGATGCCCGGAACCTTAAGCTGAAACAGCCGAGTAAGAAGCTCAGTCCCAAGCGCCTTGGGCCTTATGCCGTGCGGCGAAAGCTCGGAGACTTGGATTATGAATTAGTCCTGCCAAAGTCGGTGCCAGTGCACCCGGTATTCCACGTTTCCTTGCTTAGCAAGTACACGCATAGCGATATCCCGGGCCGGGAGCCGGAGGAACCGCCTGTGATCGAGGTTGAGGGCGACGAGGAGTACGAAGTTGAGCGGATCAAAGATTCGAGGATCTTCCGGCGCCAACTGCAGTACCTCGTCAAGTGGAAGGGTTATGACGACTCGCATACGTCATGGGAACCGGCGTGCAACGTTGCCAATGCGCCGGCCCTCATAGCCGACTTCCACCGGAAGAATCCGAACACCCCTCGCCGCCTCAATGCTGCTATCTTTGGTGGTCTCCACTTTCAGCCAATGCCTTCGCCGCTGACTGAAGCACAATGCCACTCTGGGTGGGAGATGGGCAAGGGCGCCTCGCATGAGGTCATGCGCCGTTGAGAGGGGGGGTAATGTCACGAGTTGGTATGGCGCCTAGCCGTTTTTTAATTTTTTCCTTTTCGTGGGCTCGAACCCGCGACCTCTGTACTACTTGCCTGATACGGACACGTCATTATCTACTGTACGATAAGATTAGATGGGGCGGCAGTGCGCGGCACAGCTCTGGCTCTGCTGACACAGCCGCTCTGACTCACCGGCCCCCGGGGCCGCGTCGGCATGCTGCGCACAGACCAGCTGCGCACGGACCAACGCGCACAGCCTGCCCTAAATCTTCCCATGTATATAAACCAGCCTCTGCTGCCCTAGGGACCTCAGTTTCGACCTCTTGTCCCTAGGTCAGTAAGCTCTCCTGTACTTACTTCTTTTACTTACTAACTAATACATTCTTGTCCCTAGCCTTAGGTTTGAGCACTGCTCACCATCGCTTTGGTGAGATCTAGTCGGACGCCCCCAGCCTTTCAGTTTTCTCTAGTCGCTTGACCTCAAGTTGCGACAATATGTTACGCAGACCGCCTCCCGCTCACACAGTGCCTCATGAGATATTAGGCGAGATCTTTGTGGCAGGCATCTGAACTATCCCATTGCCATGCATGAACACAACCAATCATTTGTCCGATGCGTGCATGCGCTTCGTGACCCAAAGCCATGGAAATTCTGAAACAGCCCAGCTACAAGAGCATATTTTGTCTGTCTGTCTGTGGTGGCGTGTTGTCGCTCAATCAACTCCCCGGTTTTGGCAATCCATCGAGATCACACCTCAAGTTCCCCCTTCGGTTATTGCCCGTGCCATTGAGAATTCCCGGGGCCTCCAACTAGCTATCACAGTATGGGACTGCTGTCCATGTTCTTCTGATGCTGTTCCGGAAGCTCAGGGGCCTCTATTCACACCGGAAACACTGCATGTGGCTCTCGAGGTGTTGACGGGGTATGCAACGTCTTGGCGTTCACTATCCTTTCTGGTCGCAGACCATTCCCTGATCGAGGTTCTGGCCTTTCATCTCGCACCCACTCTTGCATTGCCTCAATTGAATTGCATTCACATTTGGACCCCGCGCACGCTAGTGGCCGGCAATCCTTGGGACACTCTTGCTTGGCCACCCCTGTTGCAAAACACCCCATCTGCGCTCCGTAACCTCTCACTACAGGGCATCTGGGTGCGCTGGTCACACCTCTTGACATCTTCTTCAGGTATCACCACCCTTTCCTTATGTGACATGTCACCCCAATGTACCAGCGATGACTTCTTCCATATTTTATCACAAATACCCACCCTCGCCCATCTCACACTAGCTGGCAAGATTCTTGTCCCTGAACTCTTTCATCCCGACACCTACCCCGGCTTTGAGCTCCAGCAGCTCCATTACCTAATGCTTAGCAATCTTGAGCCTCTGACCACCGTTCAGCTACTGCGCTTATTTGTGTTTTCTGCTGATAGGCGCCAAGCCCCTCTGGGCCCCGATACACCTCTTTTCGGCAGTCGCATCCCGCCCGGCACTTCGACTCAGTCTCCCAACACTTCAATTTTGCCTTCGACGCTCTTTGACACCTTCGACGGTGCGCAACGCTTACTCGAAGCTCGGCACAGTCGTCCCGATGCCTCGCGCGTAGATCCCGGGACATCTTCCGCATTCGGCGAACAATAGGGCCACTTGACGCCGCTCGGCCAAAGCGCGTGATTCGCTCCATGCCACACCGACGTAGCCGGTCTTTCCCGATTAGGTATCGAACCTCGCAGCATGCCTTCACGATGGCTACCGGTCCAAAGTGGCCATATGTTTCTCTTCATCTCCGCATTCGGCATGATGTCACTCTACGGATGAACTTGATGCGTGCCACTCGGAGAGGCAGATTCGTGCGGAACAATGCAAAGCCCCTTGTATTAGTGTGCCACTCTTGATAGTCGTAGCGTCCTATGTGTAGTATAAAATCTGTCGTACTTCTCTCCAAAAACAGAAGATCCGGTTCCCCTCTCGAGTTCAGAGCTCATAAGTCGAGTTCGCCCCGCGTCTAAGCTTTCAACTGCGTCACTTTGTCCCTCACTGCGTAACCTCGAAACCTCGTCCACCGCGTTTACTCGTCGATACCGTCTCGACAAACCCTTCAACTTCGACTATTTTTGAAGAAACTGCGAACCGCGCCCTAGCTAAGTCCACTCTATCGAGTCGTGTCCCTTCCTTCTACAATACATTGAAGAGCTCTGCTGAGCTTCGATCGTCTCCGCTAACCACTCACAGCCTCCGAGTAGCTTTGATGACGTGTCGAAGCTACCTCGTACCTTACCCATTGTTCGTAGCCTTTTTCCAAGGGCGTTTCTCGTGTTCACTCGAAGACCGTCATCGAGTGCAACCGGTTCCTGTCGCAGCTGCGCATCTACTGGTTGATCAACACGTCGTTGACCACCATTGAACTCAAGGTGCAGGTCGCACTTAGCCTGCTCGATGGAGACGCCCGCGCCTGGGCCACTCCTTACTTCGCCCAGCTTGTGTCGGTGCAGATAGGAACACAAGGGGTCACAACCCCATTCGCAAACGAAGCAGCCTTTGCCGCCGCCTTCCGGGCCCGCTTCGGAAATCTCGACGACGAGGCGGCAGCACAAGTAGAGCTGGCGAAGCTCTGCGCGGACAAGACGGTCCGTGAAAAACGCACCGCTGCGGAGTTCTCCGCGCTGTTCAAGGGTCCGGCGGATCGCTCTGGGTATGGGGACCTGGAGCTACGCGACAAGTACCTGAGCGGCATCCCCTCCCGCGTTTACCGCAAGATCGAGCTCGAGACCTTCACCACGTGGAAAGACGCTGAGAAGTGCGTCACCGAGGTTGAGCAGATCCTTGACATCAGCTGGGCCTGTTGGCCCGAGCTGAACAACTTCTTGGCCTGAGGTCGAGGATGCGGTGAGGCACGTGGTGGTGCACCCTAGTCACACGCAGCTTCAGCCAGCATCAATGCGGCCATCAGAAAAGGGAACTTCCCTGGCAGTTGTTTTGGCTACAGGAAGCAAGGGTACCGCCGTTTCAAGTGCCCCAACTGTAAGGACAAGCCTTACACAAAATGTGCCGACGCGTGGGCTACAGTTGCCTTGGGATCCACCCAGGCGGCAACAAGCGCCCCCATCTCTTCACCCTTGGCAAGTACGAATATCACTTCAGCACCTTCGGAGCTGGTGGACTTGATAGCACAGGTGAAGTCGATGCACGAGGAGCTCAAGCATTATCGGGCAATGAAGGAGGAGTCTTTTTAATCCGGTCCGTGCTTTGTGCTGCACGCGTCAGGCCACATAATAATAACATGTTCAATGTAATGGCTACTGCAAATGTTTACGAATTGGACCACGGGTCCCAGCACTTCCACATTCCAGTACGCCTCAAGGGAGAAAGATGGCACAAAGATATATTTGCAATCGTGGACAGTGGAGCCACTACAAAGTTCATCAACAAGTGTTTCATCACGGAGAATCAAGTACAAACGCGGAAATTGAAAGAGCCAATTCCACTTTACAATATCGATGGGATGCTTAATAAGGACGGAAGCATCTCGGAAGTAGCCGTACTTCAGATGCAGATAGGAGAACATGTCGAGAAGATGGTGTTTATGGTCACAGACATAGGTCCAGAAGATGTGATCATTGGGTTGGATTGGCTACACGAGCACAACCCTGAGATCAATTGGGAGTCAGGATCCCTAAAGTTATCGCAATGCCCTGAAACATGCAGTGCTAGGAGGACTGGCCGAATGGAGCAAGCAGTGACTGCGCGTGATACGGGGGTCAGGCCCATGGCACGCAGGCACTCACCGAAGTTCAAATGGTCAGTTATTGTCACGACTTGAGGTCAAGCGACAGGGGAAAACCTAGAAAGCTGGGGGCGTTCGACTAGTTCTCACCGAAGCGATGGTGAGCGAGGCTCGAACCTAAGGCTAGGGACAAGAAATGTATTAGTTAGTAAAGGTAAGTAAAGGATACAAAGGAGCTTACTGACCTAGGGACAAGAGGTCGAAACTGAGGTCCCTAGGGCAGCAGAGGCCGGCTTATATACATGGGGAGATAAGGGCAGGCTGTGCGCGTTGGTCCGTGCGCAGCTGGTCCGTGCGCAGCATGCTGATGCGGCCCCGGGGGCCGGTGAGTCAGAGCGGCTGTGTCAGCGGAGCCAGAGCTGTGCCGTGCACTGCCGCCCCATCTAATCTTATCGTACAGTAGATAACGACGTGTCCGTATCAGGCAAGTAGTACAGAGGTCGCGGGTTCGAGCCCACGAAAAGGAAAAAATTAAAAAACGGCTAGGCGCCATACCAACTCGTGACATTACCCCCCCTCTCAACGGCGCATGACCTCATGCGAGGCGCCCTTGCCCATCTCCCACCCAGAGCGGCATTGTGCTTCAGTCAGCGGCGAAGGCATTGGCTGAAAGTGGAGACCACCAAAGATAGCAGCATTGAGGCGGCGAGGGGTGTTCGGATTCTTCCGGTGGAAGTCGGCTATAAGGGCCGGCACATTGGCAACGTTGCGCGCCGGTTCCCATGACGTATGCGAATTGTCATAACCCTTCCACTTGACGAGGTACTGCAGTTGGCGCCGGAAGATCCTCGAATCCTTGATCTGCTCAACCTTGTACTCCTCGTCGCCCTCAACCTCGATCGCAGGTGGCTCCTCCGGCTCCCGGCCCGGGATATCGCTATGCGTGTACTTGCTCAGCAAAGAGACATGGAACACCGGATGCACCGGCACCGACTTTGGCAGGACTAATTCATAATTCAAGTCTCCGAGCTTTCGCCGCACAGCATATGGTCCGAGGCGCTTGGGACTGAGCTTCTTGCTCGGCTGTTTCAGCTTAAGGTTTCGGGCATCAAGCCAGACCTTGTCCCCCAGCGCAAAGACCGGTGCCTCTTGCACGTGCTTACCATAGTACACTTTCATACGCTCGGCTGACAGCTCGAGTGCAGAGTGTGTATCGTCGCGAATCTCCTTCAGGATCTTAAGCCGGTCGGCGGCAGCGGGCATCGCGGACATCGGATTGATCCGAACCTGGATCTCAGGATTGTACCCTTGATGCAGGAAGAATGGGGAGTGCCCGGTCGCAGAGTGAACTCGGTTGTTCAATGCGAATTCTGCGAGCGGCAACTGCTTCGCCCAATCATCCTGCCTGTGGCTTGTGAAAGCACGCAGGTACTGCTTGATCTCCTGATTCCAGCGCTCAGTCTGGCCGTTGATAGGCGCCAAGCCCCTCTGGGCCCCGATTCACCTCTTTTCGGCAGTCGCATCCCGCCCGGCACTTCGACTCAGTCTCCCACCACTTCGATTTCGCCTTCGATGCTCTTCGACACCTTCGATGGTGCGCGACGCTTACTCGAAGCTTGGCACGGTCTTCCCGATGCCTCGTGCGTAGATCTCGGAACGTCTTCCACATTCGGCGAACAATAGGGCCACTTGACGCCGCTCGGCCAAGCGCGCGCATCGCTCCATGCCACACCGACGTAGCCGGTCTTTCCTGATTAGGTATCGAACCTCGCGGCATGCCTTCACGACGGCTACCTGTCCGAAGTGTCTTGCATGTTTCTCTTCATCTCCGCGTTCGGCATGACGTCACTCTACCGATGGACTTGGTATGTGCCCCTCGGTGAGGCAGCTTCTTGAGGAACAATGCAAAGCCCCTTGTACCAGTGTGCCACTCTCGAATAGTTGTAGCGTCCTGTGTAGTATAAAATCTGTCGTACTTCTCTCTAAAAATACAAGATCCGTTTCCCCTCTCGAGTTCAGAGCTCATAAGTCGAGTTCGCCCCGCGTCTAAGCTCTCAACTATGTCACTTTGTCCCTCACTGCGTAACCTCGAAACCTCGTCCACCGTGTTTACTCGTCGATACCGTCTCGACGAACCCTTCGACTTCGACGATTGTTGAAGAAACTGCGAACCGCGTCCTAGCTAAGTCCCCCCCCTTCAAGTCGTGTCCCTTCCTTCTACGATACATCAAAGAGCTCTGCCGAGCTTCGAT